CAACTGAAACAAAGTGAGTCATGATATGATATTCAATGGAAGAAACGTTAACATTTGCGCTTCGAAATAATGCATAAAATATTCAAATTATATCGGCTTCAGCAAGCATAACAATGAATAACAAGCAAACGACAGTTTTTTTGCTGAGGGTAAATTTCTCGGGCAGAAATTACGCATCCCGTAACTTATGAACGGAAGCAGCATTCTCTACCCTCTTCTGGGATTGGGTCCCGTTTAACGACATCTCCATCAACTCAGATCTCCGCATTTTCGACGTTCCCCCGTCAAATATTGATCATTAAAATGAAAACGAAAAACGCTAAACTGCTGTTATTTGCTTATCTAATCGCCTGAAAATATGTGTACAAGTTTACTACAATGATAGCAGTGTGGCGAATATACTACCTCAACTAATGTCGGGGAGAGAAGAAAGAATTAAGAAGATTGAAAGAAAATGAAAAATAAAGAAATAAAAAATTGTATCATAAGGAGCACTACCATAAAATGACATCGTCAACATATCAAGCAGATCATTCTTATAATACCATCATAATACGGTAGCACAATGTACCATGACATAACACATTTATTCGAGTCAATTTTTGAGCCATTTTTTTTACAATCAGCAAGGGCAGATGTAAAGAGAAAGAAACAGAAAACATAAGGAACAGAAAACAGAACAAAAGAAATTATATATATTTCTCAAATTGCTCGAGCTAACTACTTATCAGGATTTTATCACAGATATAAGTCCGATTTCATCGGGTGGAACGGATCAGTGCCTTCAAATAAGCTTCGCTCCTCTGGCTGTATTAAATTTGTTTGCATATTTAGCTGCATCGGCAGAATGATGAAAAAATGCAATTCCAAATTAAGGATTTCGCATTTTGCAACAATACGCAACGTACTATTTTCACACTGAATTTTCAGTCAGTTGCGCGATCAATGATACTGAGAGATAAGTGGCCTACAGAGTATTGAAAATTTCAGCTCGAGAAGCACCATTATTGCTACATGCGATTCAGTTGCTGCAAAATCTTGCATAGAATGCTTTTATGACAACATGAAGCATTTAAGCCTGGTGTACCAAATTTTACTTTTAAATTGTAGTCATTGTGTGGTTCAATTACGCTTTGCTATCTTGTCCGCTAGTGTTTTTAGTTGACCTGTGTGTTGAATACAGAAATAAATAATAATACGGGAATGAAAGCAAAAAGGAGGAACACTCTGGCAGATAAGCATATACTATCATAGTAATGAGTTCGAGCGCAGAGCGCAACATCCGCATGCGATACTTTTAGCTGAAATTTTAGATGGAGCGCTTCTTGACAGACACGAACATGTGCACTTAAAATGGTCATTTTGTGATGGTCATGTTTTAATCTACCCTATCGCCCATCCATATAATCATCATGATAATTTTTGCCCTAAAAGGCTGCATCCTCAGCCCACAAAAAGGCACTGAGTTAGATAATAATACTAGTCGGCTGCCAGATGGTGATCACTGTAGTCAGAATGAATCTCTCATATATTGAAAGCTGAAGATTGGGCAAGCCTTTCTGGCACCAGGCTCTTATTACAACTGCTTCATACTGTTTAATTCAAAAATCATTCTAAAAGTTCCAACTGAATATCTAAACGAATAGCTCTTATTGTCAACCCGTATAACACATCCCAGACGCTCGTCTAACAGCACTTTCACCCACTGAACCCAAGCCAGAGCGTAAGCTATAATCATATAATCAGGTTGAGAGTAAGCCTGAGCCAAACAATAAACTTCAGTTTAATCGGAGCAGATAGTGCTTAACCCAGTCTCATTTACTCAGTTGCCATTCGCATGTGATTCAAGAACGTATGAACCGTTTGAGCTGCTAAGTAGTGATGAGATCCGACTGACAGTTGGTCGGAAAAGCACGACAATTTTGGTCAGAATCCGACCGTCGGAATCCCGGTCGAACAATTTGGACTGTCGGTCGGAATCCGACTGCCAGAATGCTAAATTGCCAGTTCGGTCGGATCTCGACCGAACGAAATTTCGCTCGGAACCCATCACTACTGCTAATCACATCACTGCAATCTAAATTCACAGCGGCACGATTTCTCGGGTCAGTGAGGTGAAAGCATGTTGGCAAACTGTAAAAATCATCTGCATTAAACTAGCCCACTCCTAGTCCCAACCAAACATAACTTTCGTCTTAAGGCTCAGTTCAAATCTGAATCGAAGTTTAAGCCTGACTCAATCCGATGTGGCAAAATTGAAGCCGAATGACTTCTGCCTAGCGTTGATCCTATTTTTGGATTGCTTCCAAACCTCCAACGGTACTGAAATTTATTCCCGTTTCACTGCCCCGTGGGCTGATGTGAGGTGGCTGAGAGAGTGCTGTTCTCAAATCACAGTGTCCGTTAGTAGTGAATAAATTTGCCACCGACCCACCATATTACATTATTACCCGTGGCGTAATGCCAATGCATGCCCCTTCCGTCTCATTCTCTGCACTTCGTGCCGACATGATCAATTGCGAACACTCTGCCTTCTTGCATTTTTCTTCTCAACATCTCATATAAATGCATCCATACTTTTTCATCGCGCTTCTCTCGATTTCCAACTTGTTCTAAAAATATCTCTGCTATCTAACAATAACACTCTTCTTTTTCATACTCGTTCTCATCATTTTGCTGCCAACATCTATGTTCAGTGGTTCATAATATATCTCTCTGTCCATGTCACTATGTATGGTTCACTCACATTTCTATTTGCACGGCTACTCGATCTTTCGAGAGATGATTAATGTCATGATATTTTTGGGAACGTTTTCTCTCTCTTTGCTAATCAAATGTATTGAATATTGTTTGTTATTCTCTCTGATTGTTGTTCACAGAAAACGAGCTGTGTGTGTGGCTTGACTGCAGCTTTTCCATTATAATTTCCCAACACGTTCAATCCTTTAAGACATTTTTGAAAATCCATTTAAAATTTCAGTATTCAGCTTGTTTGGATATATTTATAATTTTATTCACTATGCACTAGTCGATCTGTTTTGTTATGGCCTAAATGGAAAGGTATTTGATCTAAATAGGACATAAAAAGATGGAAATTGTGATTATCGAATTCCAAACACTTAATGCAGAACTCAGTAATTTTTGATTACTCATTGATACTGCATTACTTTTGTGAATCTCTTCGTTTCTGAGAGGTTCAATTGTATACTTCCGATGTTTCTGTATCTGCTATCACTTTTTTCAAATTTCAGGTTTTCTTAGAAGAAACTATCCAAAGGAGTAGTAGTGGTAGCGGGAGGCAAGCGCTGTGATAGTAAGTTGTATTCATTCATGTTTGCTGCTTACGCTGTTGCCTTGTTTTATTCGTAAGCATCTATTACCGATTACAACGTAGCCTACAACTGAAAATTCTGTGGAAATCAACCGTTGTTCTGTTCTATTTCAATCAGAGTTGCGCACTTATTATTTGTTGGTTTAGTTGATTCATCTCTAAAAGCATGAATCTATTCTGCAACAGAGTATCGTTGATCATCTTGTATGAGCTACCGCTAACTTTTATTCTTTCTCCGTTCGCACGTGGCATTTTTTGACTGATGGACCACCCACGTGAATTCGATAAACTTTCATCGTCGAAATGATATAGATGCGTCATGTTGCTGATAATGTCTTAAAATTGTGGTTTGAATGTTTGTTGCGAATACTTATAAATTGTACTATTTTTTGCAAAATTTAATGCCACATTTGTTGATAGTCATGCATTTGGCAAACA